CATACTCCTGAATATGATCAAAAATTTTTTTTTTCTTTACTATTTTACAATAGAAAGAAAAAAAGAAATATATATATGAAAGTATTAATACCAATAAATCAATCACAAACTGAGATTGTTGCACATTTATAATCATCTATGTATATGTTGAAATTTTCAATTTATGTTTTTTCTTTTTTTGGTTCAAACAAAGAAAATCTTCTGATGAAAAAATTTACAAATCATGTGAAAGATTTAAATTTCTCGCTACAAATTATTACAGGTTGATTTTTTCGAGTTCATGTTTCTCGAAAATTTCAAATTCGACTCAACATTTCGGAGGAATCTAAGATGCACGGAATTATTAAAAGAAGTTTCAATACCTTTGACTCTATAAAATTCTATATATAGAATTTTTAAATTATTAGTCATAGATCATCAATTAGAATAAATTAAATGAATGCATATAAATGTTTACATAATAATTTATTAATTTTTTTTTTGTTTCTTATGGACACCTTACAGCCAATAATTATCAAGCAAAGTCACTTATTCGAAGAAAAACTATCGATGTATAGTAAGCAATATGCATCATATAATTAAAAAAAGCGTAGGATAAAGCAAGGTATGTGTTATAAACAAAAAAAAAAGAAAATAACAGATTGATAGTCTATTTTTATTGATTTAATTATGAATCAATGTTTCATAGTTTTTATTCTATTCTATGTTTAAATTTTCGATGCATGATAAGAACAAAAAAAACGACGTTGTATTATTATGTCTTAGTCATAACATTAATAAACTATAGTGAATTTAAGTGTTGACATTCTGCTCTACCTGAAGTGCAATTGAAATGATAAAAATAATGTATCTAGCCAAAATTGTCTTGTTGTTAGGGGATCCCCCTCCTTCTTTATCTGACCTTGAGATTAATAATGACATAGAAACACATCGAAAGCAATACGTATTTTTCTTGTATATTTAACAGGTATCATTTTTTTTTCTTCACTAATAGTATTAATCGATGATATATTTTGTTTCATGATCTTGTCTATTTTTTTCAAATTGTTTATTTTCTGTAGTTTTTATTCCACTTATTGATTTTGTATTTAATAGTCATTTTATCGTTTGCTATTACATCGATGACTATCTGTATGAATCTCTTTGTGTCAATCCTACGCATTCATTTATTATTTATGATTACTTTTTTTCGATTATATTTCACTTCATTACTTTACATATACTCGCTTTCTCTCTCTTTTCTCTTTCTCATATCTTATTGATTCTCATCAAAACCTTTATTCACTGTATTGGTAAGTTTTTATTCATCTTCAATTCAATATAATTTTTGTTTATAATTTCTTACTTCAAAATTTTTTTTTGAATTGTATTTTAAAAGTTAATTCTAAACATACTTAAAAGCTATTTGATTAATACGGAATTTATCAAAATTTGATGTTATTAAAATTTGCAATATTACTTTTCAGCGATTATGTTATCAACAATGTTTGTTTTCGAAGATTCTCGAAAATCGTATTTGTATACGATTAGGTCCCGTTTCGTCGAAAAAATAAATTGTGCTTAATCAACGAAGAATAGATTATATCATTTGATGAGATTTTTCATCATACTAATCAGGAATAGTGCCCAATTACTTGTAGATCAGTTTGTCAAAAAATACTTTATTATAGAGCAGATTTAGATACAGAAATAAATTATTAGGAGAAAATATGAATATAGAAAAGAAAAAAACCAACACTTTTTTATTCCAATTAGTTCCAGAAATTTATTCAACATTAATGTTTGTTGTTTAAAACGTTCGTTTAATTTATGTAATCGTACATTTCGATTTACAAATAAATTTTTTCGTGGAAGTAATTACCAGTTGCTAAAAGACATGATGAGAGTGAATGTGAGTGTAAGAAGAAAACATCCACATCCACCCATAACACCTATGACCGATTTTCACATTTCCAATAAATAGTTGTATTTAAAATTTGATTTTGTGTAGCGAAAAGTATTAAGTATTAAATTTGGTATATTACGTTTACTTTCAACAACAGATAGCATCATTTTGTGTAATAATGAATGAATATAGAAAAAAATTGAATTTTTCTTTTTCCTCCTCATATTTATACTTTTTCAAAAATACAGATTACTAGTATAGGGATATCAATTAGTTTCTTTTTAAGGAAATAGTTTAAGTCAATCAAAGAAATCTAGTTTATCACTCTGACTATACTATTTTTCATGAAAGTTTAGTTTTTCGACGAAACGGGAACAGCCGTTTTTTCATTTTCGACGAAATGGGAATCCACCTTTGTATACATTAGCAACTTTTCATATTATGTGTATTAATATTAATTATGAGACTGTGACAGGTGATTAGCAAACTTATTAATCGATCTAATTATTATTCAAATAAGTTAGCAATTAAGACGATATAGTACATATCTAAAAAAAAAAGCGAATAAAAAGACTGATTGTTTTGAAAGAAACTAAACGATATTATGAGATATGTAATCAATTATATGTTCTTATTCAGCAGAATTAGCAAAAGCTTTCTTTTTTTATACGATCCATTGATGTTTGTCCAATTTAGAAATCTTCGTATTAAATGTAAATATGTTCTAGGTCACGATTTATATAACGATATTGTTTGATAGTCATAAAGAAAGGGTTATTTTGATGATTAATAGACATTACCTGAATAGTAAATAGAGACGTCAATGGCAAGGATTTGCTTTTTTTTCTCATTTGAAAGAAAAGAACAAATGTTAGTAAAAACGAAAACAATATTTAATATAATATATATTTGTATAAGAAAAGGAAATATTTAACGCTTGACAAACAAATTTTCATGTAATTTTGTTTTCTAATGTGTATCGATTTGTTTCTTTTTTTTTCGACGAAAAATTGAGATCTGTAAGTTTGATAGCAACCAACAACCTTGTAACGATGAAAATTGATAGTTAAATTAAAATAATTATAAACGTTATTATTTGTATCGCTTCTATAGATTATGATTCACTAACAGCAGATAAATTAAGCATAAGTTTTAGTTTTACTTCTTCATGATTACATATATGAAATATTCTATAAATTTATAATTTTTCATCAGGATATATAATATTTTTATTTATTTGATATAGAAAATTTTTTTATTTAATTGAAGATCTAGAGAAATTTATTGTACTAAGTGACTTAAATTTGATCGCATTCTATTTCTTGAGTCATCAAAACTTGTGTATCTAAGATTTGCGTTTTTTTTTTCGTCTTCATTCGTAACAGTCGGAATCAGAAATAGTGATGTGATAGAAAGAATAAGAAAAGGTATTCAGAACAAAAAAAAAAGGCTAAGAGTAGAATTGAATTTAACAAAATAATGTCATAAAATCTCGTTTCGTATTCAATACGAACTTAAATAGTGTGTTCTATTTAGTTCAGATTCCTCGTGAGCGATGAATAAAGAGAGATTATATATGCTCTTTTCTCCCTCATATGTGATACTTCAAAATATATTCAGCAATTTAAATCTGTAGTTTCGAAGCTTGTAAACAACATCGAATAACTAAGTAATTTTCGTATTACATTCAGTGAAACCAGAAATTTGATAATGACAGATTTAATATGAACGATCGCACTTCTATATACTCAAAAATATTTTTACTTGTATTTCGTTGTCTGTAGAGTTGTGTAACATACTCTGGAATTTATAAAATAAAATAATTTAAAAAGTTAGTTCTTTTGTTTTTTTAGGTGACAATGTATCTTTCAGAAAATTAATCACGTCTAATAAAATAAAAATTTTATGGTAAAAATATTTGACAAATTCAATATCTAAAGAGGAATCCGATCTATTCATTTAAAGCATTTTTTCTCTGTTTAGTAATTCTCAGCTCTTGAGAATCACATTAATCCATATTGACTTAAATAGTTTTTTTTGCATAATGACAGAAAATAAATGATAATGAAATGAAAAATTATCATTTTGTTAAAGAAAAAATTAACGAAGTATCTTCGTAATGAAAAAAATATTTATTTTGATTTGATTTTTCATTATTTTTAGATAAAACACTCCTTTGTAGGACAGTACAATTGTAATCAATTGATACTGTGATTTATTATCTATTAAATCAATATTCGATGGTACTTCATATACATATATATGGCCAATACACATGCTCAAACCATGACGAGTCAATTCGATGATAGTCAGTGTAAAGAATTTATTATATTTGACTTTTTTTGATAAGATCATAAAATATTCAGATTATCTATCCTAATCATTTGAAGAATATTTACATAATGAACACAATATTATAAACAAAACAAAATTTTTTTTTTCTGATCCTTTTTCATTACTGCTAATGACATATTAATTAATAATAATTCAATACATTGTATTTAAATGAGACAAGAATTAGAAAAACACTGATAATTTCTATTTACAAACAAAATTCATGATACAATTTCAAATATTCAATATCTCATGATAAAACAATATGATCTGACGGTAATCACAATTTCTTGCTGAAAACTTAGAAAAAAATAAATCATTCTAGAATTTTTAATATCATCATAGTCTTGCGAGTCACTTTGACACAATTATCGAATTCACTATTTAGATAATTTTAATCAAATCTTTGTTAATGACAAATGAATTTTTTTCTCTATTTTATAGAACTTTCTGAAGAAGTTATAGAAGTGCCATACGTTGCAGCTGCACAGAATGAAGGTATGATTATTTGTTGAACATATGTAGTTTCATGTAAATATTTTTAAAATCATTAGATGAAAAAATAAATCATGATATGGTGTTCAATGACAATCCGATTAATTTGGAATTCGGAAATACAAAACCTTACTGTACAGGTTCTTTCTTCAAATATGATTTTCGAGTAGATCATATTCTATATTTTAGATAAAAAACGATCTCGTATTATGAAATGTAAGTTGCATTGTTTAATTTAACAAAAATTTTTATAATATAATGTATTCTATTGATCATTGTAGATCTGATGAATGAATGGATACTTTCTATAATTTTTGTGATTCTTATCCTTTATTTTGGTAAATACTTTTGAAAACTTTTTGTTCATTACTTTCTTTTGTCGTACTATTTATCTAGGTCATATTCATCTGGCTCTGAAATTTTTACCATTACATATGAAAGTTTTAAAAGCATCTGATTCATTAACGTGTCCCAGAACAAATAATACTTATCAAAGTAAGAAAGAAATAGAATATTGGATTTTTATTTTGTGTCTATCAACAATGTATTACCTATATTATAGATCGTATTATGAAACAAAATAATAAATATTACTATACAAATAAAATAGTACCAAATATACTCGATATTAATATCAATGATAACAATAACATACCGATAATATATTACGGTAGGTAAATTATTTAGAAAATATTCTGTTTAATATAACGTTTGATAAAAAATATTAAGAGTCACATGGTGAAGATATGTCGAAGCAAAGTTCTACAATACCAATATTTCATGATTTAAGTTGTACATTATATGATATATTTCGATATGCATTTATTAAATTTTTATGTTGGAAAGATGACATCAGTAATATTATTCCAACTGAACTTCAAAATGGTAGATATTCATATTTTTATAGTAATATAGAAATTTTTCTTTTAATATTGTTGTTTAGAAAAAGCTGATATGTCAATGAATCATGCTAATGAAAAAGCAGGTTTGTTAATATTTTGTCATATTTGTTACTTTTACGAAAAAAAACAAAATAATATAATTAGATCAAACATTATCATGTATTAAAAAATTCTTTTTGGATATTATCAATATTCGACAATTAAAGGAAAAAAATCTTACAAACGAACAATGTATTTCACGTACATTATCATTAGGTATAATTAGAAGATTAATTTCTTTTTTTTTTTATGTTTGAAATATTTCCTTTTTTTTGTTATTTTCAATATAGATACATCGTTTGATCAAATATTACAAACTGAACGAGAAAATTTGAATAAAAATGAAGTTACTGCTCAAAAACTTATACCTACTGTTCGTTCAACGAATATAGACATATTTAATATACATAAGATATCGAAAAAATAATCTTTAGTTTTCTTTTTTACTCTCTAAAATTTTGTCCCGGTAAGATGTTACTATGAACTGTGTTCATTAGTAATTAACATAATTATAAATTGTTTTTGAAATGTATTTTCTATTACTTTTTGACAATTGAAGAGAAGAAAAAGAATAAGAAAATATTTAATTTACATTCAGTGATTTTACCTGTGATTATTGATATAAATTTTGAGTAGTAAAAAACAACTAGGAATTACTAATTCAAATTCTTCTTTCTATTTTGAATATTATTAGATTTTGCATTAGTTTTATAATTAGAAAAGTAATATTCTATTTGTTCTTGTATTGTGAATTTTATTTTCCTTTTTACATAGTGTTTTCGAAACATAAAATTGTATTTGACATCTACGCTTGTGATTTAACTTCTTTTTTTTTCTTCAATATTATTGTTGCTTTGTTTTATTCACAAAATACATAAAATGTATAAAAATAATACAGTATGAGACATATCGGTAATCTTAAACTAGAGATGTTCGAACTGAAAGTCAAAGAAATAACTGATATTTAATTAGTTTAAAATAAAAAATAAATCACTTATTCTAAGAAGATAATTTGTACATTTAGAGAATGAATTCTATCATAATCAAACAAAAAAATCTGATATTTGAGTTTTTTTCACCTTGTATACAACGCAACTTATGTAGGTGGTTTTATTAACTCGAACGATATGTCGTAATAAAAGCAAAATTGCGCAATAGAAAGGTCACTAAAAATAACAAAATGAAATAAAAGTGCATATCAATATTTTGCGAAGATTTTTTTGTGAATACGAATTTTTTTTTTTTAGACTTAGGAAATATCGTTTGTTAAAGCATTTCTTACATATGATTAAAAAAATACAGAAGAAATGCTGTCAATCGAACAGCAAAGTAACAGTTATAAATATCTTCTCACTAATGAAAATGTTTTTTTCTTGTTCGTATTACGTACAATGAAATATTTCTACGTTTATTATTGTAGGTAACGAAGTTTCAATTTCGAATTCGTCTTACTGATCTATAGTTTATTTCGAACTAATAAAGTCAATAACTTATAACATAAGTCTTTGATGTTCTATTTAATTGTGTTTTCTTTTTTTCTTGATAATAAATCATAGAATCTTTTTTGTACATGCGTCATATCAACAAATATATGTGACACAAATTTTCAAAAATTGTGCAATATGAAAGAAAAAAGAACACGGCATCGGATGGTATTTTCATCGGTTTTATTTTTTGCGTTCATATATTTTCTTCTCTTTTTGTCTTTCTGTCGTTGTGTGACTCTATCTCTCTGTCACTTTTTGCGCTTCGCTACGGTTCTCTATTCTTCTCTTGTTATTTTCTTTTTTTTGGTTGCTTGATCAGAGAATAACAAATGAAACATACGCAATATAGTTTACTCTCTCAGTAGTATATAAATAGATAAGAGCAACATCAGATTATTGTATTAGATTCATCAACATAACGACCAATATAAAAGAACTGTAAGTATTTCATAGGCAACTTTATTACAAAAAAATTATAGAATGAATATCAGTGTACGATGTCTTTATCAATATGATAACATCTGATAATCGTTACATATATTGTTAAGAAGATTCTTCAAAAATTTCAAGTAAATCTTACATTATTTAGTTAGTTTTTTATTTATAGAGCATTTAATATGTTTAGTTTGTTTTTTTGAGAATAAATTTTAATAATAAAATTTTCTAAAGAGTGATTTATTTTGAAAAATTAAATAAAAAGATGTTTTTTTTTTTTATAGAATAGACCAAAGAATCTACAATGTTGTTACCATGAAATATCACGTTTTGCCCGTTTATGATTCAAAATTTATTTTCTCTATCATGAAAAATCGTTTGCTATGATTTAGTTTAATTATTTACAAGAGAATAAGTATTTCGTTTCGTCAGACTTCGAGATATCGATGGCTATATATATATCATATTAAATTTATTTCAATGTCTGTAACATACCAGAAAAACAAAATATCATTTAATTTGATATAATGTGTAAAAACAAAATGTGCACTTATAGTTTTTCATTTTAAAAACAATCATATCATTTTTCACCAACAAAAAAACAAGAGAAATTATTCAAATACAATAAAATATTACTTTTTTGTGAATACTTTATATAGTTCTAGATTTATTTTCATAATAACTATAACTCATAAACAAATCTCTAGAAGACTATACTCTAATTTAAAGAATACTTCAACTATAAATTGATAAAAAAATATTATATATAAGGTCACGCTAAACGCTTACTTAAGTTAACAAAGATTTTTCTTCAATAAATTTTTGAATATTATGTATGCATTAGTTTAATATAAATTCTCATAGTGAAACTAATTTCAAAAAACATATTGAACAATCATCATAAGAAAAATAGTAAATAAAGTTACCGAATGTAACATTTGCAGTATGTAACATATTTTAGCTGCATTAGAAGAAAACCAAAATCTAGAGAAGATATTTTACATTATAATCTTGCCTTTATTTTTACTATCAACGAAATGCTTCATTTATCTTCAATTTTAGTTTCATATTTTATACTGAAATAAAAACCAAGAAATCACAGTGTAAAAGAATTTGGAAAACATTTTGAAATAAAATATATTGTAAGAGCAGTATTAGTTCTATGGTTATACTCTATTTCAATCAAAGGATCATATTTTAGAGATTTTATTCATTATTTCTAGATCTTATAATTATAGTCAGAATAAATCTATATTTATATGAAGTAAAAACCACAAAAACGAATGTTTGATGTTGTTTAAAAATAATTGCTTTCTATGCTTATTAATAAACAAATATGATATAAATAATTTTAAAATGAACTATTAACTTTTATCGGTCTTTAATTGATATTTATTTGTAATTGTAGATTCATATTATTGTCTTTGACGTAATTACAATCTTGTCCAACGACGTGATTTCAATGCGAGAAGTACATATAGAAACGAAGAAAAATTACTTGTAGAAAAAGAGGACTTTGAATGAAATACAAGAGGGAGAAGAATAGAAAAAGAGTAATGAAGGTGAACCAGTATCGATAGTTCTTACGAGAAATAAACATACGCAATTATCTATATTATTCATAAAAAGGCAGAAGTTTTATCTAATAAGAGTCTATACGTTAGCCTACGCAAAGGAAAGAAAGGTTGATTGGTTATTTTTTTTACCCGTTTATGATGACAATGAGAATGAATGGAAAAAAATAGAGGTAAAAGCAAAAAAATATAGTGTGGTAAGAATAAAAAGAACGTAATAGCACTCTTTGTCATGATATATAAAACCTGATAAATGTTACATTTGTTTCAAATACAATGTTTCGTGTATTCATATGATAAGTAATAGTTTTCAATTTTTTTTTTCTGTTGTACTTTTTCATTTGTAATGAATTTAAAATATTCATCCTCTAGATAGATATTCTCAAATTAATAACTTTTTAAGGTAATTTATGTTAAATTTTTTAAATTTAGAATTCCTAAATCTATTTATTTTTAAAATATTAATCAATAAACTATCATATGTATATGAAATTTTTGATGACTACTTGAACGAATAGATAGATTCTATGTTAAAATGAATCATCTTAAAAAAAGAATATATTTTTTCTTTTGATAGATGTTAATAAACAGAAAATTATATTCTATTAGAACCTCTTGTATTGATTCTGGATCCTATTTACTGAATACAAATAGGAGGAAAAAAAGTATATCATATTTTCAAAACAATTATCTTATTCTGAATAAAATATTTGATTGAAATTCTCAAAGAAAAGTTAGACGAGGTTTGAGTTCAAAAACGTTTAGACTCGACGAGTTCTATTTTGTACATCCTTTTTTTTTTCATCTTCAATATACTCGATCAAGCCAATTCTTTTCACTAAAATATTCAACATTGAATATTGTCGAAGAAATGTAATGTATATTTTATTGTACGATCAACTGTTACAATCTGTTATGAAAGATAACAGAAAATATTGAAACATAAAAAAAAATAGACTAATCAAGAATTCCTATTAATATTTTTTTTTTTCACGAAGTATTTAGATAAAAGAAAAATCTGAAGTAGTCACTTTGTAGATTTTAAAACGACTCTATTTTCATATGTATGATTTGGAAAAACAAATTAATACGATTTGCTAGTGCAAGAAGTGCATTATGATTGTAAGAGTTCTTCAATAATATTGAAAAAACATTTCATCTTTTAACAAAATAAATAAAATGTAGTCGAAGTTATTCATATACATTTTAAGTTTTTTGTCACCTCGAACTTTAGTGACAAAGAAATACGATCACCACCCTAAAATTTGGAAAGCAAAAGAATTTTTATTTTCTATTGTCTAGAAAAAAAATTGAATTTATTTCCACTAATCAAGATAAATAAATGAGGCTTTTACACTATATGAAAATTCATAGAAAACACAGTCCATTGTTTACAAAACCTATTTGAATAAATTATATTTATTCTTTTTAATATTTTTTGAATTTCTGCATAATCTTTCATGTCACCTTTTTACGTTCTAATTGTAAAATAAAATATTCCATATAATTTCTTATAGAGAATTCAACATTAAAGATTTTAATGAAAGAATTATTTTTATCAAATGTATTTAAGAGAAAAAAATGAAAATATTAAGAATGATCTCTTTATCTAAGTCAATTGTTATTTTATTGATTTATTTATTAATTTAAAACAAAAAACATTCATATTATGAAAATGCTTAAGTCGATATTACACTTATCTTACGAAAATATTGTACAATGAGTATATTGTATTTGATGAGCCGTAGATCATGTGTTTATAGATGCAACATTTATCGAAGAAATTCTTTAGCTAATGTTGACGTGAGACTTAGAAATAAGTACTTGGTTTAGAATTGAATAAGTCAAGAATGTAAGTAAGTAACAGCCTTTAGTTTTCTAGTATGAAAAGAGAAGATATGGAAACATCTTTTCTATACATACTAAAAACCTTAAGACTCCTATTTTTTTACACAAAAAAATTCAAAAAGATGAAAAAGAATGAGGTGTCATATAAGATCCTTTTTTTGCCAACAATAAGATACATTTTAATCGGATTCAAAGAAGAGTAAGTGTCCGTTAGATATTGTCTATATAATTCAATTGCAACATAATATACGCCAAGATATTGTAGAAGTAGCGTTAGAATAAGTTATTAATGTAATTATACAGGCTTTTATTAATTTATATGAAAGAAAATGTTTATAGTAAAACTTCTGGCATATATATGTATGGTCATGATCGAACAAAAACGCTCATTTTATAAAGATATTTATTATTAGAAGGTTTTGTGTTGGTTTTCTTCCATCTACATAAGTATTCAATTGTAATTATGTTTGTTTTTTTAATTAGCATTCTTTAGATCTATGAGCATGTTAGTTCTAAAAAGGACAATCGAAATCAATAGTGAACTGAAATGAAAAAAAATAAGAAAAAAAAAGAACAAAGAACAAAATTCGTAAAAAGATTGTCGAGCTTTCATGCTTCAACGAAATGAATAATACTTATGTATACACATGTAATTTTTTTTCTTTCTTTTCTTACGTTGTTGCCTTCCCTTGATTCAATTTCGAAACAAAATACGTTATTTTTTGTTTGCTCTCCGTGTTCTTTTCTCTTGTCTCTCATTCTTATTGCAATGACGTTTTGGACTACATAACATGATTTCTTTTCTTCAATCCAACAACTAATAACTTTAATTTTTTTAATGAAAGATACAGCAACATGTGTAGACATTATTTTAATTAACTAACTGTTAATACAAAAATGATGAGATATTATACGAAGAACTTTTGCTCTTGTCTCATATCGGCGCTTTTTTTCCTTTCAAATACACACGGTTAGTTCATCCTTGTCGTATGTATTGTATAATTGTTTATCATAGCGTCAATATTTATGAAACATTTATTCTCTCGTTCTACGTGTGGATGGCAGAAAACTTGCTGGTTATATGATAGAAATTGTTATCGGTCATAAGACAAGAAATAAACGTCCACTGTTCACAATAAGAACGTGTTTCCGTAGAAAGATTTTATCATATATTAGATGTCATAGATTTTCTGTCTTGTTCATTTGTAGAGATAACAAATGTAAAAACAATCATTGAAAACAATGTCAAGTATTTGATTGTACGATCGACGTAAGAAAAATGATTTATCTCATTAGATATGTGAGTCGGATTTCTTCCCTTGTTTTTTTTATATGTCAGCTTTGCTTGTATATATTGGTTCTATATATTAAAAGATGTGAAGAAATTTTCTAGTATAAGTAGTTATTGCAAGAGAAAAAAAGGTCAAATAATAAAATGACGTCAATATGAGAGAAAAGAAGCAGCAATATTTTTTTCTTCGAGTCAGAGAACGGTAAGAAGAAAAAATGACTTCATGTTGACATACGAATTCACCATTAAAATGTGACATCAGCTAGCACATAAATATATACACTTCTAGACAAAAGTTTTTTTTTCTATTTACCAAGAAAAAGTAAATAAGGAGGTAAGGAGTAGAAGAAAAGACTTTTCTCTAAAGGTTTATTCATTTCTAATAGCATACATTCCTTCATTGTAAGTAATAATATCTAGTTTTTATTTGATGTTTTATGTTCTGATTGTATTAGTATTGTAAAATTTAATATTGTTAAAAATGTTTTATTATGACTGATATTTCATATGAAAAAACAAACAATCTGCTAATTTTTTATTTTTATTGTTAACCTTGAAAGTAATTTCATGTTTATTTGTTCGAATGAATATTAAATATTATTTGAACTTTCTTTTAATATTAAATTACAAACAATAAAAAACGATTTTTTAGTTGTAGTTATTTATGTTACTTATAAATACTAAAGAAATTTCTTCTTATTTTAATATTTGAATGAATTACAATTGCAGAAGATCTATCGAATATATAACCGAATAGAAATAGTAAAAAATGAAATTATATGTTAAAGTAATAATAGAACAAAAAGCTTGTTACAATCTAGTTATGTTAGACAATGACAAGAAACGTTTCTCTTTAAATCAAATATATTATTTCATTCGATCTATAGTTTTAGTTTTATTTAACGATAATGAAATGGATGAGATCTAGCGATTTCATAACAAAAATTGGACATTTTTCGAATTGTAGGTATAGACTAATAGGTAAAATTCTATTGATAATCGAAACTGAATTCCAGTTTCAAAAAAAAAACCCAAGCCAATCCCATTTTGGGTTGTTAGATAGCATTCATATGACTTGATATGCTCAAGATTAACAAACTATAGCTAAACATAACCTATATGATTCTAGTACTGAGCAGAAACTCATTTTGACCGCAATCAAAATCAATTGCTTTTTGTTGGGTCGAGACCGAGACTAAAAACGACTAATCTCGCTCATGTCTAATAATCGCAGTTCAAGTATATAATATCATCTCTGTATAAAAACAAATATTCAACACACAAGATGAATTCTATACATTCACGCTTATATAATATATTTCGAAAATGAAATCAAGACATCTATTGATGACAAAAAAAGATTTTATTTTCATATAGTATAGTTCATGATTTTTCTATTTACATTTTCAAAAGATTCTATCAAATAAATCTGACGATTGGTTATTCTCTATGCATCTAAATATGTGACTCTTATCCTTCTTGTATGAAATTTCTAATAATTTAGTTAAAATTAATCATATTTATCCATATTATAACGAAATTTTCACCAGAGACACAAGAAAAACTGTACTTACTTTGGTGGCGATTTTTCAATGACTGTGCTGTTTTTTTTCCAACTGTGTATGTTTATATCACAAACACGTGGCGCTTTCTACCTGAAAGTTTTCTCGTTCTGCATTTTTGCGAGACGACTTTTTTTTGTAAAAAAAAAAGCCTTGATCAAATAAGCTTTTATCACGAACCAGAAAGGCTATAAATGACGACATCTATGATTGTATCAAAACAAGAAAAATTAAACTAAAATTTATTAACCTCTTGGATCCCGCTGTCTTCAGACTGAAGACAAGCAGGACAGGCGAAATCGACCAAGTTTGACAAATGAAAATGATTGGTTGGAACTTTTACAGAAAATCCTACGAATTTTTCTACTTCGGAAAATGCCAAAACTGTCCAGTGCTCCTCCAGCATTCTCGAGATATTCCTTAATCTAGTTCCAAATTATTGTAAAACTAGCGCCATCTGTGTTACATTTTTGTTAATATCTCCAGAATGCTGGAGGAGCACCAGGCAGTTTTGGCATTTTCAGAAGCAGAAAAATTCGTTTGATTTTCTGTAAAAGTTCCAACCAATCATTTTCATTTGTCAACCTTGGTCGATTTCGCCAGTCCTGCTTGTCTTCAGTCTGAAGACAGCGGGCTCCAAGAGGTTAAGAATAATTTATTATTGATAAGCAAAGGATTACTATAGAAATAATAACTTTTAGAAGAATTTCAAACATTAGTACGAAAATAAAATGAAAAATTAGAACGTGAAATAATCGGTTTTGGTTCTATTTGTAGATAGATTATTACTTTGGCTTAGTCAAGAGATCTTGTTCATGTGTACATGAACAAGATCAACTGATCTCATAATCTACTGTTAACTTAACAAACTTTGATAAATTATAAACAAAAATATCAAATCAAAATAAGATGCTTAACTTTAATGCTAATAATGGTGACGATTCATATTCATCATTGTCAGACGGTAGGTATCAAAAATTTAAGTAGAATCTGATGAAAAATCAATTCTGCATATTAAATGCATCAAATACTATTTTTCATATTTATACATTTTTATATATTCAGAAAATGACGAACATTCAACAACATCGCATAATCGTCATTCAATTCGTATTTATAAATATATTATCAAGAAATTTTAAATTTACAATTTTTTATTTATATAGCTCTTGGAGAATCTGCTACAGATGAAACATCGAATAATTTACAACAAATGGAAGGTATAGTTCATTATATGAATCGATTCTTGTTTCTATAAATAATATTTTAGATCAAGAAATTAATCGAGTTATTATTTATCATGAAGCAACAATATCACTAGGAGATTGGTTAATATTAATGTGTTTTTGTTTATTTTTTTATCAATATTATGATTTATTATTATTCATATTTATTATTCATGAAATAATAAATAATAGAAACAGATATACTGTGCACATGCATCAATCTGAATTAAGATCTTTCAATTTACCAATTCATGGTGAGATTCTATTAGATGTATTTTTAGAATATTAAGTTTATATTGCAGGTTATTATCGTACAGATCGAGATGCGCAAGCAGAAGGCCGTGTAGATTGTATGTAATATTTTTAGATTCAGAAAAGAAAGAATTCAATAACCTGATATATTCAATTCATTATTTTAGGTCCAAGTGATGAAACTTTAACATTTTCGAGAGCTGTAATCGGTAAATGACTAAAATAATTTGTTCATAAAATTTTAGTTGTTTGTTTTTAGTCGTCAATAATGAACAATTATCAATCGAAGATACACAGCCACATGATGCAGGAGTTCTAATAGGTCTAAACAATAATCGACCTACATACTTTATGATAGATAATGAAAATGGTCATGTCAATGAAAATGCAACATTATATACTACTATGAATGATGATACCATTGCTCAAAATCTACAAATTGGTAAATTGTTCGTTTTTTTAAATATTTTCAAGTACATAATATTCCATATACATATTTAGGTGAAAATGCTCAAGTTCTAAATAATAATGATGCACCTGAAATTGCTCTTGATAATCTAACATGTAAGTTATTTACTATATTTCGATATTAGATAAATAAATTGTTTTTTGTTATTTTTTTTATTTAAAAGGTAATATAAATCCTCTGAACTCAATTGAATCGCAAGATGATATGCAGTCCAGTGACAGTAGTGATGAAGAAGGTAAATATTACTAGTTGTTTCATAAACGAATTATCTTGATAATTTATGATTTGTTCATGTTATGAACTTAATCTAATATTTACCTTCTTGTTTAGATCGAATTCTTGGTTCAGAAAGTGGTTTTGATAGTGATGATGAATATGATTCAAGCGACGATAATGAAGAAAGAAGTATGTTAGACAAATTTTATGTTGTTTTTATTTTTTTTTGATTTAAATGCAATACTAATAATTAGATCAAATATTAGAAAATAATGAAAATCTCGATAACCGTGTTGAAAATGATAATCGGTTAGATCATACAAATCCTGATAATGAACAACGATCTAGAACGGATACACGTGAGACATATTTTCATTATTTTAATAAAATACGTTACTTTCTTATTATATAGTTCTATCACACAATGAACCAATGGAAATGCAGGAAAATGTTTCTGCTCCACTTGAAGGTGCTCGTCAAACAATAGAAGATACTACTTATAGAGTACCTATACTCAACCAGAAACAAACAGGTCTCACTGACTTAACTACTGGGTCAAGTGAAACAAGTACTGATTAATGGAATGTTTTATTATTATATAATACTCAAGAAAAAAATGCATTTTACTCAAGAAATAGGAAACATATTTTTTCTTTTATTAGCACTAAATTCTCGTTGTACCTAGAGAATATGTAAAGAGCTTCGTTCCACTCAAAAATCAATTTTTATTTCGATACATTCAATTCCATAATCATATTTTAAGCGTATGTTGAAACGATAGTGTATAGCTTATGATAATTTTTTTACCCTTTGAATAATATGACATTTATAAAAAAAATATTTGTCAAACTAGAGCCATAAATCAGACCAATAATCTAGCTAGTAATCTATGTTATTTAAGATAATTTATTATACATAATTCTATTTATACTTGTTCAACAAAACATATTCAAATGAAGGATCTAAAAGAGTCTCTCTTTAAAAAATTATCAATGCACTTAAAATGTGAAAGAGGATGTCATTGCTAGTGCTAGTCATAGAGAGATTACTTTATTCTATCTTTTTTGAGAAATGCTTCTTCATTGTCTTTTTATTTAATGCATCACAAAGTATTTCAGATATTAGAACGAAACATTTGCTTGTATATCAACAATGTCTATGGAGGAGGGGCGGGTCTGCTGAAGTTTCTATCTATGTACTTTAGCATTTTTTTTAGAGCGTATTTGACAAAAATATTAATTTGCCATAATATTCAAAAAAAGGCACAGATTGTTGAAAATAAACTTCAATGCTTAAAAACTTCTATGTGATCTAAAATATCTTTAAAATCTCATTTTTAAGCATTTTGCAAACGTTTTTTTTAACAATATCTTTCTGTTCGGGTAAAAAAAATCTTATGTTTTCGAAAACATTTAAATATAAGTAATCATCTCTAACACAGCTTGTTTGAATACTTTGGATAGTATGAAAAAAAATTTATGATTTGTTGTCACAAATAGACTTTTTTTTGGAGATAACGAGCTGAGAAATATGCAAGAGTATCAACATACTGTAGTGTTCTGAGACTTTATACTATCGTGTCACATACGTATCTTAAAATTTGAGAATTTTAATAATACTTGGTTAATTTTGAGTGGAACTGAAGAGTACTTCAACTTCTTGTTTCTTTTTATGTATGACTCGTATAATCACAGAAACACAATCAATTTGAAAATTTATGAAATTGTGATCTCGATAGAGAGTTTTTTCTGAATTTTATTTTTATTTTGATCATATTGAATAAAAAGAACATTTATTTTCCAGAAAATATATATTTGATCATTATTTGATTTATATGAAGTAATTAACTGAAAAGCACTAGTAGCACGAATGTGTCATCGGCGAATGCTTGCATTTGAAAAATTTATTAGTGATAAGAAGCATCCTTTTTTCATTGATTATATCGTCACACATTATTTCTTTAAAATTGAATTTCAACGTGGTTGCCTTTCTCATCTTCATACCCTACTTTGGGTTGATAACTTTCCTTCTATTGATACACTAGAAGGACGAAAAAGTGTTATAGAATTTATAGATAAATTCCTGAGTACATGCTTATCAGACAAACAAGAAGATCCCGAAGGTCATTTACTTGTAAAAAAATATCAATGGCACATTCACACATTTATCTGTTCCAAAGGCTAGTAAATTGTTTTGAAAATATAATCAATTAATAGTAGAGTCTTTATAGGTATTAGTAAAGTTCGTATACGTCGAGGACGTAAATTTAAAGATGAAGAAATACAAAAAAATATTAAAGAATCTCAAATAACAGATATCAATAAGAATTATTTACATCAAAATGAAATATATGAACAAGTTGATCCAAACAATGATCCTGATCTTTTACAATTAGCAAAAGAAAAAGAGGAATTTTTTGAACGATTGGGATGTCGTTTTGGAAGTCCTTTTGAATTGGCTAACGAAACACATTTTCGAACATACAAAGAAGCCCGCATATTGACAAGAGGTGATCGAGATATTATTATAAAAAGATTAACTGAAGAAGTGAGTTTCATTGATAAAATTTCTTTATTTTGCCTATTCCTTCATTTACATTTTTTACTTATTAGTTTCTTGATGACCAATCGTAGTCTAGACGAATAATTCCGTACAATCTACACTTTTTGAAAACATTTCGTTGCAATCATGATATTCAAGTTATTACCGATCCATGGGCATCTGCAGAATATTTATTTTCTTATGTATCAAAAGATGCCCACATGGAAAAAAATTTAGCATATCAAATGTCAAATTGTACTGTTCCAGTCTTATGGAAGCCAAAGCAATTCTTCTAAAAACAGGTAATGCAATACTGTCTCATCGTCAAGTTGGTAAAGTTGAAGCATCATGGACAGTACTACGTATAGGAATACATCAATAATAAAATTTTTTTATTAGATGTAAATTATAGGCATTCCTTTATACCTGTTAGCGTTCACGCTCACGAAGAGCGACGAACACAGTTAACGTGCGTATGTGGTTTATTCTCTCTCTGTTTATTCTTTAAGAAAACAAACGTTTATATACGAACATGAAAAACAAGGACAAAAGTAGAAAGGAATAGAAAGGTTAATCAAGGACAAAGAAGAGCAATAGAAACGAAATAACAGAAACGAAAATATCAAAGAAAAGAGAATAGATAGAATCGAGGTATATGTAGTTACAATACACTGTAACAATACCATTCATCAATAAGATGCAAAAGTTTATATATTTCTTTACCATGGGAAGAAGAAAGAATATTCAAACGTGGACGAACTCAGGTAAGTAGCATAGATGACTTTGTTGAATCACTTACACATCGATATGTGAAACGACCATTTACTCCTTCTGTAATTAATCACATGACTCTGTTTGAATTCTTAACTTGGTTTGATTATGATCGATCTTCTTCAATGCAATTACAAGAAACATTGAAAGAACCACTCGTTGAAAATCCTCTTTGACGTACTGACTTTAATCAACCACCATTACTGAAAACTTCAAATTATCTTCCTCGGATCGTTTTGTCATATGGTTCAGTATTGATTCAACATAAAGAACCAGCATGTATTAGTTTTACTTGTCGTTATGATGATTCAATGTTGGCTATGTACTCAATGCTTTCTATTGGAATACCATATCGAGACCCAATGGAGGAATTCCTGGGTGGTAAATTAGGTATTTTGTATAGATCCAGTAAATATATTTTATAAAATATTATGCATTGATTGTTTAGAAAATGATTTGAACGCTATCCATCAATTATTGCTGAAAAGTAAACCCGAGATATTACAACGATTTTCTACATTACCTGGAGCCTACAAAATACAAATGATCAATGCAATTGAACATTTATGTGACTTAAATGCTCATGATTTTATTATCAAACCAAGAACGTCATTTATATTTACAACCGAAGATGAAGAAGACGTAGATGATGAAACAAGCAACAATATACAACAAATGAATGATAGTAACATTACCAAGAGTAATAAAGATTCCTGTAAGCGTGCTTTCTCTGAAAATATTGATGAAGATGACCAAGAACACTTGAATGCCAATGAAGATACGACAATCAATTGCCCTTCCAGTCGTACTGAAGAGTTGCTATTATCAGCCAATACACAACAGCTTTTTTTGGCAAATTGTTTTAGACAATATCTTGCAGCATTGATGCGATACGAAGAAAGCCAATATCGCTCTCAAAAAATGTCAAAACCATTACCCTTTCATATAATTGTCAATGGTTTAGCTGTTTCTGGAAAATCCTATGTTATCTCTATTATTGAACAGATGTTAACCGACTTTTGTATTAGTGAATCAGCTACTCGAAATCGTCCACGTAGAGGAAAAGGATTACTTAAGATGGCTCATACTGGCAAAGCTGCTTTAAATATTCATGGTTGGACTATCCATACTGCTCTAGGCATGGTAATTGTTAAATTGTTTTTATATCCTAAATATTCCTATCATTGCCAATTAGCGTCCCGACAACTCATCTACGCCAAATAATGCTCCATCCTTTAAAATACATTCGATTCGAAAAAGACTTGGTGATTTGATATTAATAATTATCGATGAAATTTCACTTGTCTCCTACAATCTTTTCAAAAAGTGAACAAGCGATTAAACGAAATATTTGAAGTAGCTGACAAAAGTAACGTCTATTTTGGAAACATTCCAGTTTTATTATTTGGCGACTTAGCTCAATGTGAACCAGTTGCTGCCAAACAAATTTTTTGGCGACCTTCCGGTGAAACTTTCTCACTTTGGTCTGATTTATTCAGACCAATCAACTTCAATATCAACATGCGACAAGGTGACGATAGACAGTTCTTCGATATTCTGTGTCGAATGAGATTAGGTACATCATTATTTGCTGATAATATATATGATAGTAAAGTTTTTTCAGGTGAATACAATGAAGAGGATGAAACGATAATAAAATGCAGAAGTATTCGAAAAGAAGATAACCCATTCCACTATAAAGAACGATTATCAGAATTACAGTCAATAGCATTTGAAAATGCTATATATGCATTCAGTGTAAGAACTAAAACAAATGAGAGAAACTCTATAAAACTTAGAGAAACAGCAATGAAACTGAAAAAGCCAATATGGATTATTCAATCCATTGATGTTCGTTGTGAATTATAAAAAAATTGCTAATGCTTATTAATATTTACCTTTAGAAAGTTGGCATGGCTCGATCATTATGTTTTAGTCCAGTACAAGCAAGTAAAAAAGAATGCAAAATTGATTTAAAACCTTCTGATGACGAAAATGAGTGTGTAAGTATGTTTGAGCAATTACCAATATACATTGGTGCACGTGTAATATGTCGACGTAATATTGATTTTGATGGAGAAATGGTGAACGGAACCGAAGCGATCATAAAAGGTATAATATGGGATAAAGATGATGACATTGTCTTACCAATGTCAAACCGATGTGTTTTTCCAAATTTAAATCGAGCACTAACTGTAAAATTACCAAAATATATTGAACTCGGTAACAAAAAGAGAAAAATACAACTCAACATAATCTTTTTTTTCTGCACTAGAATTAGATAATGGTTCTATATATAAAATGACTCCAGAAGAAGTTAGTTTCAAAGATCAAAATGGAATATGGATGGCAAGGAAACAATGTCCACTCAGCTTAGGCTATGCAATAACAGTTCACCGATCTCAATGCATGACTTATAATAAGCTAGTTGTCGATTTAACTGGTATACACTGGAAACCTGGTATGTTTTATCCAATCTTGAGTCGTACACGAAGATTGACTGATATCATAATCTTGGCATATAATCGTAAATCATTCAAAGTAGCAAATTTTGTTATAAAATACTCTTTATCATGTCTTAGTATACTCGGTATCCAAACCAGCACTGAATGAAATGTCTCGTTTAAACAAAATCGAAGAACAATATCCGATTAAAATTGAGCAGTACTTGAAAAATGAGGTACTTTTTATTGTTTTTCATATGTATACATTTTTATAGATTACTATAGAGATACATAGAGTGGTGTGTACCGCATTCATCTGATTCTAACCAAATATCAACAAGATTATCAAATACAAATAATGAATCAATATCAAATTGCATCAATACAAAACAAATACAATTACAATGCATGTTACCAGTCACAACTTATTCAGTAACAAAACCCGAACATGTTATCATTTGTGAGGAACACGAAGAACACTTTTGCGGACGACATGCTCTACGTGCACTCTCACAAAGACTTGATTTATTTACTGATAAGTATTTATTTGATATCGCTGAAGATATAGCAGCTACCGACCAAATACGTCAAAATGGACAACCAGTACAACTTACCGATTACTATTAGAAAGACACGGATGATTATAATATTCAACTGCTACAACTTGCTCTTCAGAATATATTAAATGTGCAGCTTTTACGAATCGATAAGTTAGAAGACAGTAGCTATGCTATTCGCAATCTTATTTTATCAAATGTTGAACATATTCAAGCATTTCTCATTCAACAAGACTATCATTATTATTGTCTTCGTAGTTTTCGATCTAGTAAAGATTATTTCTTTAAAATTGATTCTAAGCATTCAATGTACCATGAACCTATTCGTCGTGAGCGGTTATTCGAATATCTTGCAGAACTTGTTGACTCAAATTGCGCTATCTTTATCATCATGCAAGATACAGTACAAAATATTAATCAACAAATTACTATTGATAATATTCAAAAAGCATTATGGCCTTTACCAGATGCTCCTGCTGATTTTGAACTTTTTCTCAGACGTAATCAATTACATATATGATATAGCAACAATGAGAATTGCTCAGTATAATTCTCAAAAATAAAATAACAACAAATAAATATGGCAATCTAAATTTCATGATAAATTTATTATTAAAAGGAAATTTATAAATATTTGTATACATATGTTGACCTCTTTTTTAATTCTACCCAAGATTCTTTTTGCCATTCTAGAACTATAGATAGACAAGTTTTATTGAGCTTATTGTTTTTCTTCTTCAATAAATTTCATCCATAGAAGTATAATTTTCCCCTGCAGAAAAAAAAACGTCAAATGCAAAGATTTCCGATCCAAATAAAAATTATGCATAAAGACATAATTTTCTGCTTTAAACGCTTCTTCATATTGAAATACATTCTTCATTTTATTTGCTCTATTATTGTTATAATTCAACTGTTTTTATTATTTTCTCATTAAAACACTTCTTAGATATATATATATATATATATATATAATTATACCTAACTCATTAGTAATCTTGCATATGTTGTACGTGTAAAATGATACCAATATCTTAGTTATTTTCTCAAATAAACATTAATAATCAAATGTTAAAAAAAAACATCTCTGAGTCACTAAACCAAACCTATATTTTTCTTATTCAATAACGTTTTACATCATTGATATTTATAATATTAGTATAAAGAAAAAAGAAAAAGCTATTTCACTAACGGTATCTAC